CAAATGACGGCGGCCTTAAAAGTACGTTCGAGACAACTGGATTAAAGTTATGGCTGAATATTCTGAGATCGCCACAGTAGCACTGTTGCTATTTCCGACATGCTACCTGTGTGAGGCGGGGATTTTCTGCAGCAACGGCGACTAAAACAAAATTACGAAGTAGACGTGACGTAAAACACACACTTGAGGTGTCATTGTCTCCTATTACCCCGAGATGGGACCGTCTGGTTGCAGAAAATCAAGCTCGGGGCTGTGGTGAGTCGTCATTTTCATGCACTTTGAATTTGCATTGTATCGTATTTTGAAGGCATTAAACATTACCATAGCGATCAGTGTTGCGGCCAGATTAGACGCTCCTTGTGTTTATTATTATATTTCGAAAACACCACCGTTTTCATGCAGCTCATACCATATTATTTTGTTGTATTATTTCCGCCACACCTTAAATGCCGGTCCCTGAAAATATTGTCTGACATAAACCGGTCCGTGGGGCAAAAAAGGTTGGGGACCCCTGATCTAGTATATATTGTATAGTACATGCATTTGTGCAAAACAACATCCCGAAAATGGCACCTCTGAAGAGACACGTTTACGAAGCACAGTTAAAACTGAAAGCTATCACTTACGCGTAGGACCATGAGAATCGAGCACCCGCGAGAGAATTCAAGCTCAACCAATCCATGGTGCTTGCTCCTTTCGTTTTATGAAACGGCGCCATCTATCAATCCGGGCAAGGGCGACAATAGCGCAGCAACATCCTGCGGATTACAAGGGATGTCATTATTTTAGCTTTCGCAAAAGCCGGCATCATTTCTGAGAGGCCGCACGGCAACGAGACTGACTCTAACAATGACGCCAGGGAACCTGGCGTGTTAGATTGCGAACTGGCGCAACTGTACATTTCGGATACAGATTAGGATTTGGATGGATTTGATAATGAGGATTGATCATAAAAATCACGTGAGTACGTTGTTAAATGCTTCAATAAAGTACAACCGCACTCAGTTTTGCTCCCGCTGTCAAAACATACATGCTAGCATGTTTTTTTATAAGATAGCGTACATTTTACCATACCTATAAATATGTGAATCGTGAATCTCAAGCTGTTCTAGAGCTGGGGAGGGAAAACTGCCTTTTTGGGCAGCAGCGGTTAACTAACCACTTTATTCATGTCTGGCTTTGGGGGTTTGGGGGGTTGGATTGGAAACCCTCGGAGCCGTGCTGCTTTAACCACATCGAGCCTGCCATATGCCACCCAGGGCAAAGTCATCAGGGACATTAGCATGTCTTGGCTAGCCTGCGCTGCTCCCCTCTTCTGTCTGCCTCGCATTTGTTGTCAATGCTTTTGTTCTTCTTTTGTTGTAATGAAGGTATCTGAGCGAGGCCACGGCGCATCCCTCTGCTCCTGTCTTGCTGGAGTTGGCCAATGAGGTAATGGTTTAAGCTCCACCCCCACTCCCCACCACCCCTCCAGCTCCTTCATTGATGTCCTTTTGTATCAATGCCGAGATAGAGGTTGGCAGCGGTTTTTGATTTTCTCTCTTGTCTGTTAGTCATTATGAAAATTGCTGAAATGGTCCGCGCCATTATCAATTATTTAATGTAATTAGCTCTCACCTCCATCAAGCAGATGTGAAAATACTTTGTTGTGTTTTATCGTGCAATTTTCCCCAAATTGCACCGGCCCGGGCAAAGTGCAAACTGCAGACAGGTGAGGAGCGAAGGGTCAGCCGTTAATTCCTCCTTCTATCACTTCATTGCTTGTTTGATTTGACATGATGTCGCTGGTTGTGCGTTAGGTTAAGTCATGGGTATTTACGAAACCTAAACAATGACATATGTAAAAAAAATACATACCGCATTCCACTAATAGCGACCAAGGGGGTGACTCTGGACCGGTGCGGAGAAATCGCATGACACAAAGCAGATTTGGTGGAACAAATAAGTTACAAGTTGTTTCCAAAACAAACATGGATACACGCATCACTGCGGAGCGACCATATGTCTGAATAAAGATGCCATATCCACAAAGAACACGGATGGGAACGTTTTTAGAAAATGCAGCAAGACCCCAGCACACTTTAAAGTCCCTGTAAAATGAAAATAAATGTCTCGTAAATTTGACACACCACAGAGGAGCGTTGGTAACATCCCTGCCAAATGTGAATGATTTAAGAAAAAAAATCTCCACGCATATAAAATGAGGCTTCAAAATAGCCACTATCTCTGCTCTCAGATGCTGTGGGCGTGGCGTGTCTGCTGAATGCACTGAAAACCACGCCCATGTCAACTGTCCATCAAACACCTCTTTTATAACTTGGAAAAAGTTTGTTACCCTGTTGAGCGTCTTTCTTATGATAACACATAACTTCATGTTTGGGCTGCAAAAATATATTGTTGAAAGCCCCCTGTGGCTGGAATATAGGTCATCCACACTGCTCCAAGGAGGAGCTCTCGAGTGGCAATGTCTGCCCAAATCCACAGCCCACACCCAAAATTAAAATTCCCTACCTCGTGGCGCTTTTACCTTCATCACTGTGACATCTACACACGCATGGTTAACAACAAGGCACTCTAAAGCCGTGACACCATCGCAGAGGTTTTCAGTAATTATCTTCAAGCCTGTAAAAGGTATTTCGAAACAAACGGCTAAATTCACTTTCAGGGGTTGTAAAATAATAGGAAAACGTGTTTACATGCTTCACTGCAGCTGTTTTAGTTTGCAACATGATCCAAATGAGCTCAGCGGGCAAGTCACGTCTTTGAACTGAGATAATTACAGTTATTACATGTTTTTCCCACTGATGAGAATCTTTTTGAAGGAGTTGGTAATAAGACTTTAGTTTACTACATTATTCTGAGGATTTGAAGAAATATGGAATATACTTACAAGGTTTGATATGTGCACTTCATCATTTTTTTTTGCATTTTGTGCTTCCAATTAGTCCACCCAAAGAAAAAAAAATTATCACCGAGTTTGTGAAACCAGATGTCACTTCCTTTTATTTATTTGTCATTTCCGCACATTGCCCCCACGTCAGTCCAGCCTGAGTTTGCCCATTTAAATCCACATTAGAATTTTTATTGCGTCCTTAGACCAGTCAATGGCACTGAAGTGTTTCTTAATCTAAAATCAGAGGAGCTCACATGCATCAGTGGCGCCTCAAAGCTAACTGTCATTATTCATTCTCCATTTAATTGACACAAGGTTTTTTCTTCCTCTTTTTAAAGGACTGATTCCGGCTCCGAGATAACTGTCTATGAACCATTTAACTGTCATTTTAATATGCTACTTAACATTTAAACCAAGCACTCATGCTCTCTCAGACCACTAATTGATGTAGTTTCATCCCTTTATGAGACAATATATCTCCAATGGCGAGAAATGATTAACAATGATGAAAACCGCTACCGGACCCTTTTCGCCCCTAGATGTCCCCCGTGAATATTGCCGTTTTATGCCCAATATAGACTTTTTATGTAAAGGTCAGTTAAACATAAAGGCTTTAGAATAGATGCCAATACGCCTTAACCTTAAGTCACGAACGTCTTCAAGCTTGTTGGAGCAAAATATTCGCAAGGGGACCCACAGCTGACATTGTATATGTGGTCTGGATAGCAACGTGCCTCACTAGACCTCATTTCAGCCAACATTTGATTTTTAGACTTTTTTTAGTCACTGATGCGCATTTAATTTCGGTTCAGTCCCACTTTTGGTAGTCCCCCCCCCCCTTTTTTTTCAACAGCAAAAATAGACTTGAAAAGTCTGTTTGTCCTGGGGCATCGAGTAAGGATGTAAGACTGCTATGTTAGCTTATTGCGCTAGCAGGCGACTTGCTAGCTGCCACAGGCAACTTGGGATCCAACTATAAAGCATTATTGGTGTGTTTATGTTTTAAATTACATTTGTGGTGGATTTGAATTTCTACTTTTGCATGACTATGATTACCAACCCTCCCTATTTGTCCTTAACATTCAAATAAAGTGATAGATGAAGGGTATTTTGTGTTTTTTAAGTCATATTAAAGTGGTTAACTTCCTACTTATACATGACATAATAATGTTAAAATGGCAACCGAGGCATTTCCTTTTCAGTTAATAACGGTTCTGTGAGGGCAAAGTTTGGGCCCTGGAACTCATTATTGCAAATGTAATTAATCTCTCTGGGAAATTGTGTTTTGAAATAGGAGAATTGTAGGTTGACCATGGGTCACACAACGGTATTGTGTTCGAGAGTTCCACACTCATTAGCCCTGGGAAAAAATGAACTCTGGAATATAATGCGCAAAAATTATTTACCACAGAACAAAGATGACTGGTAAAGTGCTATAATGCATGCATTCTGTCTTGAGGGGATGCTGCTGCTTTACCGGGAATCTATGATCCTCTTGCTATCCAAAGGTGCAAATGGAAAGCAGGCCAGTTAGCTGAGAGATAAGGCCTGGGTGTGACAAAGAAGCAAAATGTAGTCGGAAAATCTAATCGCTATGCTCTTTATTGAGAGTGGCCTTTTTTATGTTGTCTTCTTGAAGTCATAGTAGGGTGACACTGACAAATGCAACTGACGTTAAAAGGAGAAACTCTTGTGAAGAGTCAATAAGATGAGCTAAAAGGCTTTTTAGTTCCCTATTATGAAAACAAGATTAAAATATTCTTTTTTTACTTCTGCCACAGTCCTCAAAAAAGGCTTAATTTGCTCTGAAGCAAAAAGGTTTTGGAACGCCTTAATGTGTCGTCTTGTAGTTGATGTTGGTTGAGTTAATTGAATTAAATGGTTTTCAAAACTATTTTAGTGTCCATCATTGTGTCCAGCACTTGATGGCTCATTTTTACTAAAAACAATCGTGGACAGATTGCATCTAGCTAATGATACTACTTCTGTCAAGTGCCTTTAAATGTCTGTCAGCTAGTTTGATGCTGCAAAATGTACACAACCAGTTTCCACCAAACTTTTCGAGGACTTGCGCATGGGTCAAAGAACAAGACCAAAAAAAGAAGCTCCAGTGAAAACAAGCCTGGAGTTAAGTTGTCAACCACTGGGATGAAAATTGTAGGCCATCACATAAACAAAACAAAAAATTAAAAGAAACTCGTGACATCACAAATCTGGTGAGAGTGCAGATCACAGAGCACCAAAATAAATTAGAACATTTGTTTTTCTTTTTTGTAGAACATACAACTTCCGCACGATTCCGGGGCTTGTGATTTGTGTTCAGATTTTTTTTTTAATATCTAACATTATATCAAAGGCCTTTTTTAATTACATCAATCTCGTTTCAATCGTGATACATACTGATATTGAATTATCACCCAGCTTGAATGTCAATTTAGACATCCAGGTCAAACTAATCCGCAAAGATCCAATCAAGGCAACCGGATTCTTTGTGTCTGTTGAGTTAGTAAAGGTTTGATAGCAGGAACAGGATAGCTTTACATCACATTCATTATTTGCTATGGGTAAAACTTTCTTTTTCTAATTAACACAATTTGGAAATTGATCCCCTTGCCAAAAAGAAATAATTGTGAATTCATACCATACATTAAGACTTATTTTTTTAAATTAAGGCTAATTTTCTCGTTTTCTAGGTGGATTTGTCTCCTGCACTGATGGCTCGCATCATCCTAGACAGGTTCCTTCAGGACCTGGAGGGCGAAATGCGTGAGTTTCCATTCGCCCGCTCAATCATTGTCTCCCATCAGTCTTAATTGGAGTGGTTTGTCTCTGGAATCCGCCTTCTGTTCTTGCCTTTGCTGTATTTTCCCCTCTGCTCCATCCAAATGCGCAACAGACTACCTCGAGTAGGTTTGACGATTGAGTGGTAGGAGGGCCGCCGCCCCTCAACTGCACTTTGGATCAATGCGAGCTCACCTCATCAGTGTTATTTATAACATTGAAGTCCTTCCCCCTTCATCCCCAGTTACATCCATCTAACGTAGCTTCACCTCCTCCTTATTCCTGCATCCTCTCTGCAACCTTGCCGGGGCTCCACTGAGGAAATTGTGTTGGCAAAACGTGACGAAACAAAAAGCAAAACAGCGCAGAGGTCGTGCTGATGGATGAGCTGCAGGGGAAGTAAATTCCAGATGCTTTCAACTTTTTTTTTTTTGGAAAATGTCAAAGACATTGTCCAGACGTTCTGTCAGAAATGTAAAGGGACAGTCAGGCAAGTGTGAGCAAACACATTAGTAATTCATGGCAAGCGGGTTGGACATAAAAAGCTAACATAATAGGTACCATCGACCTGTATGTTGTTATTACTTTTTGAGTAGTTGGAATTTTCGTTCATGTTATTTGTAACAAAATTTTGCCTAGTTAAAAAGACATCGTTGTGCCGAGTCAGAAGTGAATTATCCGCGAGGGAATTAGGGCGATCTGCAACTGATTAGTGGATAGACGTATCCTACTATTTGATTCTGAATTTGAACGTACCCTGTAGACATGATTGGCAAAATGATGTTGCAGATAGCGGAATTGCTACTTGTGGATAGGGACAATTTTATTTAGGAATAAGTATTTTTAGTTTGACCAGGCAGGTATCTGCTACACAGTGTACGTAGCTGTTAAATGTTAAAGGGGAAGTGAAGTCCAACATCTTCTTGACAGTAATCTGTTCTTTGCCGCTCGGCGACTCCAAATACGTCATTCTGATTCATATTGTGTTTGTGGAATATGAATTAAGGAGAAAATCCACCTGTTTTTATCCACCTCAGGAGGCATCACAGTTGCTCAGGGCTCAGTTAATGTTCAAACTCTGGAAACAGGTGATCGTTACCTGAGCCCCACGCAACTGTGATGTCACGTTCATTCAACAGAAAGTGACAAAATGGCCGCCCCCTGAGAAAGCTAAAAACAGGCGAAATGTTTTACTAAATTCATATTCCTCAAACGCAATATTAATCAGGAACATGGAACCAGTTATTGTCAAGAAAATTCAAGACTGGACTTCCCCTTTAAGTTGGCTTACTATAGTAATTTGGTATTAGCTTCACAAATTTTTGAAAAAATAAATCATTTTAAATGCAAAAAACATCACCATCAACAGCCCTATGCAGAAGCCTGCTTGTTGACCAGAAAAGACGTGCTCGCTATTTAATCACCAAGGAGATGGAAGGGGATGTGCGTTATTTTCGAATTCACCACCGCCCGGGCGATTTGTCAACGTCAAAGTGTGATTGCTTTGGACCTACAGCACCGTTATCCACTGCTTGTCAAAATACAAGTCGCCGCGGTTTGTGGAGGTGGTCATTCATCCGGCAGATGCAGGCAATCTCGGATGTTATTAGACCGCTTCCCTGCGTTGCTATACAGTGAAAACATGATTTGGTGTTTCACGGCGTGTTTGATATCACTTTGAAAACTGTAACACTCGTGAGCGCATCGTTATCAAAAGAATAATTGAATAGGAAATACAAAAAGTTCATCATCCTACGATTTAGAGCACATTCTATTCTATCAAGAATGCTGGTCCCACATACACATGATTAGCAATCGCTGTTTTTCTTTCCTTTTTTTCTCCAAAACAATCAGATATGAGAGTCAGCAATGTCGGCTTTCATATAGACTGAAATTAGCTCCATTTTTCTTTTCATCTTCCGATCGTTTGAGCTACGTAGTCTTGCGATGTTATTTATTTGGTACTACCATCGTAGCGTCTACGAGCGTGCTGCTAGCTAGCTTTGACGACACAGTTCACTCATCTCGGAGGAAAAAAAAAAGATTGTGAACTGCTCTAAAATATGTTGTGGTTTGGAGGAAGTTAAACGGCTAATTATGGAAAAGTTGTGTTCATCACATCTGTCTGGAAAGCCAGCAGCCTATTGTGGTTTTCTGTAAAATTGTGACTTGATAGCGGTCGTATTCATGACCGGATTAGGCCACTTAAGTCCCCGCGGAAGGCCGCCCGCCACTGGTATATTACATTCAAGTCGTGCGTTAGCATCATGAAACAATGCCTCCTGTAGGGAATTGTCTTTTCTGGCAATTAGCTCACGGGCTGCTTCAGTGCTAGTGGCAGGCGCATTTGTCATGCTCCTCTTTGCACGCGAGTTCCTTTCGGACTCCAAAACGTCCTGTGAAGATCAATAGACTTCTATATAAGGGACATTAACCCCGACTGGGGGGAGTGGCTCGCTGTTGTTTTTTTTTCCCCTCTTTCTTTAATTCTCTCCATTCTCCTTTGCATTCAAGAGATATAGGGACGGTGCCTTTGGGTGCTGGGAATATACGTCTGTACAATCACCCGTGCTGGATCGATACAGACTTTCAAATTGTTTCTTGCGGCTTCCTTGTTTTGTTTTGCTACTCACCATGACGACCAATCTCACACACACACACACACACACACACACACACACACACACACACACACACACCCCGTCACCCCGCCCCCTTCTCAGGAGGTTCTTTCAGCGAAAAACATCGGCAAGAGCGTCCGCGAAGCAGAACGAAATAGTATCTGTTGGCTTTCGAAATAAATCAATGCGTTCAAAGCAGTTTAGTATGTATTGAATGTGATATCAGCAATCATAATGATCCTTGTCTCGTCGAAGCTGATTTGTCCCAGTTGGAAGGGAAAGGTCGCATGAGAACTTAAATGCAGATTTTGTCCACTATTTGAAGGTCACACGCCTCCGAAGCAGGAGTATTAAGGAAGCTGAAGCCATTCATTACTAATATTGAAACAATCGACTTGTCTATGTACTATAATTTATAATATAATATAATATAATATGCTGCCTCACAGCTCTGGAGCTGAGTTGGAATATTGCCTCCTGTGTGGCGTTTGGATGCACTCCCGCTGCTTATTTGGGTTTGTGTGGACATTCCGGCTTCCTCTTGCATTCTCAAACATGCATGTTAGGTTGTCGTTGTCCTTCGGTGTGAACCAAGTCTGGTTGTGTGTCTCCTGCCTCTCTGCTGACACCAGTTAGGAAAAGTGATCTTCAAAGGGCATTGACGGATAAATAATTGGATGTAGTATTTTTATTAAAAAATAATTATGGTCTGAACCAAACTAGACGCCTGATCCTTTGTGTAACACAGTCAGTCAAGGCACCCGAATGTCCACTACATGAGAAAATATGGTCATAGCATTCATTAAAATCTCCACTGTGGAATATCGGTTGTCACGAGCAGCCACATATCGCGAAGGTGCTCCCGCTCCTTCAGCACCCGCCTCCCGACCATCTTTGCTATGCTTCAATCTCGTCAGCCCTCTTTCGGCTCCTCTCTTTGACAGGCGCTCTAGATTTAGACATACTTTTTTTTTTTCTCTCTCTCTCCCTCGCTCCCTCTGTCTCGAGGAGGCAATTTTGCTAGCTATTTGACCTTTTCCATTTTCCCAAGGCCCGGCTCCAGATTAGATTGCTCCCTGCGTGTTTTGTAACTGTGTGATTCGAGCACCCGCTAGATTTATTGTAGCATTCCTTTACAGAAGCCCCGTACGCCAGGTTATAAATGTCCCGCGTTTGATGTTAACACTGCGAGAATGTTTCCAGGCTCCTTTTGATCTATTCATAATGGCTCCGGTGTTTTGTAGATACCTGGATGTCACGTTGCGTTGCATCCAGTCAAACTTGGGAGTCCACTGTCATTGTTAAAGCTCTCGCTCACCTGAACTGTTTGCGTATGCGTGTGCAGAAATAATGAGAGAAGCAGGAAAGGGAGTGCATGCGGAAGGAACGATGAGCGATTCTCCTGCAAGTGCGGCGGAGGCGAGCTGGGCCGTGGCACTCCACTTGACAAGTATACTAATTACTCCCTTTCATGAGAGGAGCTCCAGCCAGCCTCTGCCGCAGTCTAATGGCCTGACCTATGTAGCCTCGCTGCTGCCAGATCTACCGCTGCAATTCTTTTACACACATGCGCACACACTGGAATGTGTAGAGTCTCATCTCAGCGCTTTCAGGGAGAATCAGGTGGAAGCAGATCAGTTCTGCCCCAGTAACCTCTTCAGGGAACCGGCTCCTCCTGCACCTCATATAACCACGGGAAGTCTAAAAAGACCTTTTATTATTATTTTTTTTTTTAAAGTGTCCTACCGATCTCTCTCCCAAGCCCCCCTCCGCCCCACATCTTCTATTTGAGGAAGCATTTAAAAAGGAGTAAATTGGAAAATCAAATGAGGGGGCTTTAGGCAGCCGTGGAGATTTGCGGAGCTGTCGTCCAGCATCGGGGAGACTCATCCATCACGTCGCGCAAGTAGTCAATTCCTGGAGTATCTGTAAATGTTTTCAGATATTAGCCAATTTATATGCTCCGAGATTCATCATGGAAAATCAGCTTTAGCGCGGCGCACATTATCAGGCCCTGTCTCTCCCTTGCTCCATGAAGTTTGATGAACGAGTGAACCCAACCCCCCCCCCCCACCCCCACCACACACACTTTGTGGATAAAGTGTTTTTTTTAATTAATAAACAAACTTGCAGAGGAGCTCATCAGTGTCAGAGGCAATAACAATCGTCATCCGTTATTGTTTATTACGGTCCTCCCTCAACAAATGTTGCTATCTAATGAGGTTTCTCAGCATTTGCGATAATGACTTTTTTCACCCAGGCGGAGGAATTGAAAGAAATGACACACGTGAGTCGCGATAAATCAATGTTATTTTGTTGTTAGCTCGTCTTCTTTTTGAGTTTTATGTTCCAATGCAGCCTCGTGATTTGTTTAGCAAATCCCAACGGAGGCGTAGCGTCGTATTTGTTGTTTTCCCTCCTCCTCTTTTCTCGCCGTGTTCAGATGCTGACGGTGTGATACGGTGCCTTAGTCACAATTTATACCAACGCGGGACAATTACAGTAAATTTGGTGAATGTTTACAAGGGGGCAAAGCTGCGCTGCAGGGCTTTGTTCTCTGTGTCTGGTGCTCTTCAGATTGTGCTTTTTATATTCCTCTATTTTATGTATGTCGCTGCTTGTTTGTGTGTGTGTGTGTGTGTGTGTGCGTGTGTGCGTGTGTGTGCGTGTGTGCGTGCATGCGCACGTGGGCACGCGCTCTCCAAAGATGAGCTCAGAGTGTCATGGAGGAGCGATGCAGTGCAAGGCGGGGGCGTCTTTTAATGTATGCTGATGTCGGAAGCTGCAGCGATGCGAGGGACGCCGGCGCCCTGTTATTATTTACTGCTGTGTTTGTGCACACCATCGAAACTGAGCCAGGGCCTGCGAAGGTATTACAGCATGTGATGAATGAACATTAGGGTAAATTCATTTTAAAAGCATTGTGATTTATTAGCGGCCCGGCCTTCGATTTCCATCACGTAGATGCTTGGCTGGAATTCCACAATGTCAGCGCCAAGGTCATCTTCTTTATCGCTATTTTTAACCCCACTACAGCAAAAAACAAAACAAAACAAAACAAAAAAACCCATATATATATATATATATATATATATATACCTGTATGTATATGTTTTTTCTATCTCAAGAAGAGCACCCTCATTGCGATGAGTCACCATAATGCAGTGGAACCTCCAAAGTTGACCGTGACATTTGGTGCACCACCACTTTGTGCGGATTTCAAAAGAAGTGGCAACAGTTTTTGACGCCAATTTAAACCGGCCCCCATCTACAGTCTTGGAAGATGAGTCAAGTCAGTCGCCACGCGCTGGCAGGAACAACTTCAAAATAAAAGCACACCAAGGCATTGACATTCATGTATTATTTGGCAAGGTAAGGTTCGGTCAGTACGGTCATGGGGTGGGGTGAGCAGTGAGTCATTTGCGCAAGCCAGCCTAATTCCAGCGAAGTGTGCTGTAATTCTTGCTCCTGGGGGCATTTTGACAAAAGCTTGTCACAGACATTTAAAGTCATTAAAACACACATGAGCTATTTTAAATTGTTTGTGTGTGTGTGTGGGGTGGGGGGGGGTGCATAGAATGTCTCCTTGAAGACAACTTTTACGAGCGTTAAAGTATTGGACTTTGGAAGTTCCACTGTTCAAAACAATCTTCGGGGACTGAGAGGAGATAATAGTCTACTTCAGAAGTGTGTATTTGTGTGTGTTATGTGAGACCAAATTGTGGTGGTGGTCAAACCTCCAATTATGAGCACTAGTGAGACAAGGGCTTTAATGGCTACCGTTAGCCTTCAGGGAGGTTTAATACACATGACTGTTTTGCAGAAGCAGCGTCAAATCTATAAAAGGACCATTAGGACGAGGGAGGGGGGGAGGGAAGAAATCAATCCAAATGCCATTAAAGTGGAATAAGTTGCCAATATTGCTGATGTGGTTGCAGCTCCTTTGATTTTCCTTCAGATTATTAGGCACACTCGACTAGTGACTTTGTTAAGGGAAAACAGTGTTGTCTGCGGAGTAATACGTCTCCTGGCTTCATAAAGTTTCCCGCCTCATATTTCCCCTGCTTTATTGATTACCCATTATCATTTGTCATGAGGTGTCCTAACTCAAGGGGAAATTACAACCCCTCTTTCCTGCTCGGGAGTGTGGTATGGATCCATTGAGGAAGCGAGAAAAAAAAAAAAAAGAGAGACCAACCTCGGAGAGAAATGAGCAAAGAAATAAAGCCCGTGCTCGGCAGTCGCGAGAGGGAGTGTGTGTGGTTATGAGCTGGAGGGCGAGGCTAAAACAGAAAAGGTAGCACAAATAAAAGAGGTGTCAGTGAGGAGGGAGTGCTTAAGGCTCCGTTGCTTTTCCACCACCCCGGCCTTCTTTATTCTGTAGATGAAAGCTCCAAGCACAGCTCGTCCTGCTCACAATCGCAAAACCTGTAAAAGAGCATCCACCAGGTTTCATTGAAACGTCTCTTTGAATTTTGGAAGCTCCAGAGCCAGTCGGTAGTGTCACTCTGGATGGATACAGCTATATTTTCCCTACACACAATTTCCTGACTAAGCAAGTATTGTCTGTAATATGACGAATATTGCCGCGCCTATGCCATTTCGTCACACAATGTTACAATCCATTTTATCTAGATCTTTTTAAGAAATGATTTAAGGTTGTTTCTTTTTTTTTTTTTTCTTCCCAGCTTTCTTTTCCGCTCTCCCCTGCCGCAGTACTCAGGGAAACCCATCCAGCAGGGTTTTCTGGCTGATTTATAATGTTAGTAGAGCAAGACTGGAGAAGAGACATGCAGAACAGACGGCATTTGTAACATAGATAAACTACATGGGCGCTCCTGTGCTCTGGACTGAAACATTTATCAATTGAAGACCTGTGAAGACGCCCAACGGCTGTTTAAAAAAAAAATAAATAAATTATTATTAATATGGAGTAGTATGCTAATCCAGCACTAGGCCGTTTCATTCAATTAAATATGTTTTCACATTTTCCACTCCACATAGCAGTGACCGTGTTTCCCCCGGTGTTTATGTACTCAACTACAGAGCGTATCAGACTTCTAGTATGGGTAGGGCATTTACAGTATCTCTACATGTGTGTCGATTTAAAAAAAAAAAAGAATTGGACACCTTTGTTGTCTTTTGTGATTATTTATTCCGTGGCACGGTGAGCGACTGGTTACCGCGTCTGCCTCGCAGTGCAGAGTTGCAGGGTTCGATTCTGGCTCCAGCCTTCCAGTGTGAAGTTTCTATATGCTCCTTGTGGCTGCATGGGTTTTCTCCGGGTACTCCGGCTTCCTCCCACATTCCAAAAACATGAACCCTAAGTTAATGGAACACTCTAAATTGTGTGCGGATGGTTGCTCGTCGATGTGTGCCCTGTGATTGGCTGGCCATAGATTCAGGGTGTCCTCTGCCTACTGCCCGAAGACAGCTGGGATAGGCTCCAGCATGCCCTGCGACCCTTGTGAGGATAAAGTGGTTCAGAAAATGGATGGATGGATGGATTATTTACCCAACTGCAGAAAGCATGTTAGAACATAGGCAAAATATTGATCACTGCTGTCCCACGTAAAAGCAGATGCTGTCTAATTTTGATGCAAAACAATGATAATCAGTCTGCTTTCATAGAGGCCGAAAGAAATTTGAGAACATTTGCTGTCGAGAGGCTGAAATTCTGAGGAAAAGGACAATTTTAGCTCTCTACACAACTAAGCAATTATAAAAAAAAAAAATTATCGATCCATTTGATTAGATTAACCAATTGTCACACCTCTATTTTGTATTTTGTTAACTGTTGTTAAGTGACGCTTCAATGCAATTTTGATTCCCGCAGCGCTTGTAAAATCTCGTATCACTGCTGAATTTTGCCCGTGTTCTTTTTTTTCTTCCTTTTTCTTTCAATGAAGAGAAGAAATGAGCCCTCTATTTAAGGTGAGGCTTTTATTTGTGCAAGTAGAAAAACAAACCCAGCGATTCATCCTATTAAAGAGCTCCAAGACATTTTTGTTACGCCAACTTTACTGTGTGCTTCATCGTATTTGTCTCTTCTGTTTTATCTTCCTCTCCACAGCCTCCAAATCAGTCCTCAACAGCATGCTCAAGGAACCATCATTAATACCAGACCAAACCTTGGCCAAGAACGTATACCAAGTAAATTTTGAACAATTTTTTTGTTTGTTTGTTTCATTGCATTTTGACTACCTTTCTAAAGAGCTTCTGAATGAATTGCCTCCAACAACTGTGTACGCGTTTTCTCCTTACACATTACGATTACAGCTTCCCTCACCTCCACCTTTTTCTCTCTCTCTCTCTCTCTCTCTCTCACCACACGCTGTAATATTCCCTCACCCCCCTCCCCCTCTTTCCCCACTCTCCTCAGTGCACAGTAAACGACTGCTGTTATGGACCACTGGTAGACTGCATCAAACAGTATCCTATCCCATAAAATTTTAAGCTTGAAATTGACGAGGAGCTATTGAAGGGGATGAGATGTGTCTGCCTTCACCCCACATAAAAGTTCTGCTTCACGCAGGAGGCGTTTGCCATCCCTCTACCACAAATGAAACAGGATGTGGAAGGAGATGTACAACGGCTGGGATTCTAAATGTCCATGTGCGCCGGGTGGATCGGAGTAAGAAAGGAAAAATAAAAAAAAAATGTCATGAGTTGGGTGGTAGTGAATGAAAGCCATTGGTATTACTCCCAGCTGGCTTTCCTTGTATTTTATGAGTCTTCTCATTTTGTTTTGTCATCAATTGGATGCAGTTCAGCACCATGGAGAGTTCAGGTCACATTTTTTTTTTTTCGAATGCATGTGTAACATTCGTCACCTAGGCAGTGCAGATGAATATTCTCTTATTATGTATTTCAAGTTTAACTTCATTTGTCACATACTCAATTATTCCTGTCTAACCTGCGGTGAACTGCCCAACTCGTTCCCAAGCAGCCGTTTGCATTTTGGCTGACTTTTCCCAACCCATAAAATGGGTTCCGTTACAATATAGGCATTCAGTCTACTGAAAGAAATAGTCAACTTTCTTCTTCCTCAATAAAAAAAAACAAAACAAAACAAACGGCGATTCTGCTCTTGTGCTTTAGCTTAATAAGTGGCGTAAAGAAAAACGTTGTTTGCTTGTAGTGCATCCATTTTGTTGCTTTGGAAGACTGTTGCCTTTGAAATCCTTGACTCTCTACCCACAGTGCGATTGGCCATGAGCACGAGGTGCTGCTCTGTGACAAACTCAGGGAGAAAAATTTGTCCTTTCTGGGTAAGTCATCATTTGAGCCTATTTCTATCAAGTTGCACTCGTCATTCAAGTGTCGCCTTTGTTGCCGGCGAGTCTGGCTATGATTGATTGCTGCAAAATGGATGTGTCATTTTATTGCTAATAGTTTTGTGTTAGTAAAAGTGTAAGCCCCCAGCTGATGACAAGCATATACTCGTTTCGTTTTGAGGTCATTCATTTGCTCTTTTCCTGTTGATAAATTTCGTATTGTAGGGTTATCCAGCGCGCCCCCCCCCCCGACCCCCCGCCCGCCCCCTTACGTCCTGCACCCCTCTCATACTCGCTCAGTAATGCTCCCCAAAAAGTTGGAAGAAAGTAGCATCTGACACCAATTTTACCAATCCACGTGGTATTTGTGGCCATCAGAACTTTGGAAATTGGCCATTTTTGCTTTAAAGCAGCCGTTGTGGGTGATATTCTAAGACATGAGTCTCTCTGCTGGAATCAAAACGTGACCTCCCCAAATGTAGTTACGATGACGCCTGGAAAATGAACGACCCACGCCAGCCATTCTGCTTCGACTACGACGGCGAACATCAATTGCTCCCTCACTGGAGCATCAAAATAAGAAGTTCTATTTTTGTAAAATACCACAGTTGCAACGAGCAGGGTTCTCGATTGGGAATGACGATTTTGTCTCAACTGAATTTAATCAAGGTCGTGCCCATGTGTGAAATTGTGGAACGTAATATTTAACCCCTGCTTCCCTCTCTCACACGCCCCCTTCCCATCATCATCATCATCATCATCCCATAGGTCAGGTGAGTGAAGGATGAAAGTCATTCCTTGTGTCATTAAGACCACATCATTTATTTGGACCCGCGGTGTTGACCTTTCTTCACGGCTATACAGAGGACTGTTCTAAAACTGTCAGAGGGCACGAGGGCCACTGAGGCAACCTCACCCCAGTTGATAAATGGATTGGAGATAAGCTACCCAACAGCAGGGACGGCCCATTAATTTTAATCAAAGGTGGTGTAAAAAGGCGATCAGAGCCACATGACAATGTCAACAGCCCGGCCGCGGCCAATAGCACTCCCCTTTCCCGGTGCAGACACATTAGCCGAGTCCGGGATGCCCCCCGTGCACCGCAGGCCTCTGGCAGCCACTCTGACCTCACTCCCGGCTCCCCTTTCTCCATCCCTGGCTGATGCTGCCTCTTTACTGACACCGGCACCCTCCATCTCTTCTCAATTCTCCTCCGTGCCCCATTAGTCGAGCTTGACTGGAGACAAAGAGGCAGGCCCTTGGAACCGAATGACCTGGTCAGCCCGAGATTTAATGGAGAAATCAGGTGTTGTGCGGATAATGGCTGAAGTGTGCACAAAGTCAAGGACAATGGCTGCGGTCTGTGGGGATCGGGGTCAGGCTTACTCAGACTATAATGCCAACCTTGCCCCCCTCGCTATATATTTTATGAAGCTTCGCCGAACGACAAACTGGAGCTCAGCTTTTTTGTGCAGAGACGGCAAATACGCGGCCAGTGTTGTAAATGTTGTTTGTCACAGCGAGGGAACTTTGCACACAACGTATGGGTGACGCTTCTGGATGGATCTTGTGCAATCAAAAGTTAAAGCAAAAAAAAAAATGCTACTCATCTGCCCTCTTTTTTTAGATGAAAACCAACTGAGAGCGAAAGGTTATGACAAAACACCTGATATCATTCTGGAGGTCCCCGTTGGTTAGTATTGTTTTCCGCCATTTTGTAACGTGGACTGTGCAACTGGCACAAATGTGAACGGTTATTTCTGGGCAACACTTATTGTTTGTCTGTGTTTATGGAAAGCCGTTGAGGGACACATTGTTCACTGGATTGAGAGCAAAGCGTCATTTGGAGATGACCACAGTCACCGCACCTATCTCAACGAACAGTTTTGGAGCTACTGGAACAGGTCAGTCTGGGTTTTCAGATTCTCCCGTTTCACTTGTTTTGCGACTCTCTTCTTTCCTTCATTATTTTAATACTGTCTTTTTTACTTTGTTGTTTAAACTGGCTTCTTCCTGTGTTGTGACTCATCTCAACGCTTGGGCCGTGCTCTTGTCCGTAAATACACAAGTAAAGTAGATGAGGCCTCCATTCCTTATCGCTACTGTTTATCTCTGTGTTCGTATAAAATTAAAATTCATGTGAAGTGGATTTGTGCTACGAAATGAAAATGAACCAATGCAATCCGAGAAATCAGTCTGTGACAACTGTGTTGAAAAAAAAAAAAAACGGCATGGTTTTACAGCTGTGCAAACTTGATTCGACCTCACTCATGCTTCTCTCGATTCTTAACAATTGACAAATCAAAACAGCGTTAACTGATGTCATGTAAACAGGTTCAATTTGATTGAAAACGTTTTTTTTTCTCCAATTCCCATCTTCAATAGGCCACATTCAACACCTCAAAACAAATGAGAGGATAACAAAAGATAACCACGAGCCTGTCCCCATTTTTTAAAAACTAAAATCTATATAACAGTGACAAGAGTTTGTACGCGTAAGTAGTCGAGCCAGCAAGAAAAGCTGAGTTGATGTTTCCAAAAATATATTTTCTTCAGTGCTCTTGTTTGGCTTGGATTGAAGAAAGGCTCTTTGTTTTGCATCTTTTATCGCAGCGTCGCCATTTACCACGAGGTCAAAGCATGGCGATGCTTACATGCTGATTCTAACGTTCGGGTTATCCTCAGCCTTGAATATACGGCCTGGAGGTGTCTTTCCTTGATATTCCGTGGCGCAGCCTTGTCCAAGTCTATTAGACAACTGACAGTGTAGATCCCATCATGTCAGCCCGAAGCCCGATCAGATAAACATTGTTGTGTCAGAACAGAAATGTAAAACTGTCAGTCGCAACCTTATCCAGCACCCGTTACTTTTTAATTGACATTTAATGTTGACATTTCAAAATGTTGAAATCACTTTTCATTCATAGTTAGACCTTTTACATCACCGTCTCAGGTATTTATGTCATTTGGGGTCAATGCTCGATCTCATAAACCGGAAAAACCATCCTTAAAGGGCTGATCTTAGGGTGCGGGGGAGGGGGGTGTCCAATCCTTTTTGTTTCACATTTCGACAAAGCCTGGAGCTTTTATTTAAGAATCCACTGCAGACTTTGTGATTACTTCATTGCCCTTGATTGACACATCCACTGATTTGCTTATTTTCCCAAATTCCCTCTTTGGTGAACCGAACTGCTTCGCCCTTTGTGTTAATTGTTCTCGCTTTCTAGCATTAAGAGGAACTCCGAGCTCGTGGTTTTGTAGCAGAAAGTGAAAAAAAAAAGTAATTTTCTCTCCAAAGCTCTAACCAACTACATTTATCATCCAAACAATAGTCTTGCCAACACACTAACCCCATAATGAACCCCTCTTCAGTGAAGTGAAGGGTAATGATGCTTTACGTACAATGCTCCAAAGAAAGAAGAGGAAGGATGAGTCGGAAAATAATCTTGTATGGAATCAAACGCCGTGTTAAAGTCCACTGCCTGGATGAGGCGGCGACAGGCGTCATTCAGCTATCACTCTTTAGCCGGTGGCATTCCAGAGCCGGTGAGCTCTGCTCTGACTGATGTTCAGATAATTCATTTATCCATCTTGCCCAACTATGAGAGTTGCATAACAATGATTCACCTGCTGGTGAATATTAAACACATAATGAGCCTCATGTGTGTTGTTTTTTTTTTTTTTTTTTTTTGAGATAATGTTCGGGACGGACTTCAACCAGACCAGAAATAAGTAACATTTGCTTGCTTATAGCTAACATATAATGTGAAACCCCATAGACAAGCTAACAGAAATTAGCCTTGACGTGATGGCAGTTCAAAAAACTTTGAACAACTGCTTCTTGAGCCACATGTACAAACATCGCATCCAGCCATTCTCACAGGCATGTACTGTGATCTCTCAGTGGCAACAATTACCATTACTGGAGTTTAGTTGGGGATTGTCTCTACCTGTTCGAGACAATACATGACTTCCGGTCGGCCTCAGTGTTGCTTTGGCATGTTGCGGCTTGTGGTACTGCACTAAAGGTGCATAACTCTAAATTTAGACCATAAAACCCACTTAAAAAAAATCTGGAATATTGCAGTGCTAAAATCCGTTCCGTATTTTGAAGAGTAACCAAAGGGGAAAATGCACTCCAATAGCAACCTCTATTGCAATGCAGCATGGTCATAACAGTTCTCTGTTGACAAATTAACATGAATTTTGACAGAATTTTGCCTCTCAAATTGACCCTTAGGACTCCCTGAAATTGAATATTACTGTTTTTGCATTGGGAAAATGGCATAGCAGCGGTGCTCCTGCCCAGGATTCTTTCTGCGAGGCGACAATGCTAACCACTGGGCCATTGTACCGCCCGACGAAAATCAGTCATAACACTAAAACAACGCATATTAATATCATACCTCACAAACCCCCTGAGCAATTGAGCCGCTTCTATTTCTTTTGTCCCTTCATGCCCCTGTTGTCTTTGTTATTAAGTCTAACGATATGCCTTCTCGGACCAAGTCCACCCATTTATATTGGTTCTAACTATGAAAGATCTGTCTATTATTTAATTGGCCTCTCTATTGCAATAGTGTACTATGAAAGAATCAATTGAGCTAATCAGAATATAATGTCCAAACTGGCACAAAGTAGCTTTGAGTCATCGCGTAGCAGATTAAAAGAAAAAAAATGTGGAGCTTTTTCTTCGCAATTTTCCTCCTTGATGGCCAGTCCATCGATGACACCGCCCCGCCCTCCCAAACCCAGTCAGCTGTGAGATTTGTAAACTGCAAATGTTGAACGTAGGCTCCCTTAAGGAAGGCGTGAAAAGGTTAGCTCTGATAAGGAGCTGTCAGACGTCCACCAAAAAAAAAAAAAAAAAAAAAAAAAGATTGATAACAATATAATGGTACAGTATGCCTCATTTCTCCCTCATATGAAGCAGGGGTGAAGACCTTTTGGGTTTGCCTTAATACATCATCTGTCCTGACCACCTGGAAATGTGTTCAGGCGCAAAGGCGCATTTATATTCATGTATTTTGATATACTCTTCACGTTGGAATAGCTAGGTTGTCTTTGATAGGTGTCGTCGCATGTAGCAGCTCAAGGGCAAATGGTTTCTAAAGGCACATTTGTCCTCATTTTGCCATTTGCCAGACAACGAACTGTTTAAGCCAAAAGGTAAGCAGGGCTGCAATGAGTTTTGTGGCATGTGCAGATCAGCAAGAGCGAGTTATCTTCTGATAAGATACACGTGCTTCAATTTTCAGTGAAATTGGCGACGTGTTATACAAAACTTGTCATGTTATTAATCTATTCCCTGACACGTTGGCTAACATTGAACTGTGTCTGTGATGCTCCTTATGACTTGACACGGCTTGCAATTACACAGCTTCCGATCTTTCTGAACTTTTCCCAATTACGGTCAAAAACCGTACGCCGTGGCTTTTGCCGCGCTAATTCAGTTAATGCCTGTCAATTGAAGCAATTAAATTTCTTGATCCAACATTGTCCTATTTTAATGGACATGCCTATCATATTTTGATTGGACTTCCCCAAATAGCTTAGTGCTCGATTACTTGAAGGTAATGATGGCGAGGCTGAAACAATCATTGCTGACTGCCGCGAAAGCCCCATCAGTTACAGATAGAACATTATGTTTGTTTTGTTGGCTTATGTTTTGTGCAGCTGGGTCATCATAGTGCTGGCGTAGATAGGAAATGTCACCTGAGAGGAGGGAGGGAGGGAGAGAGGAGAGGGGGAGAGAGAGAGAGCCCCCAAAGGCCATGAGTACTGCAGGTGATCCAATGTGGCTGGACGTTACCACGGCGTCCCCGAGGACAGGTCCCAACACTTCGAAGGTGACAGTGTCACACCTGCAAGTCCTGTGTCCTGCCACGGCAATATATTGGAGTCAAAATGACATTTTGTAGTAGGTGAAGTTAAAAAATCCAAATATATGGACCAAATATTTCATAACTGCTCAGAATGTCCAGTTTTTCCCTTTTTTTTTTTAATTTAGTGTTTATTGAGATCCAATTAGGATCACTTAATTGCATTGCGTTTTCATTTACTTGAGCAAGCCAATGGAAACCAGGTTTTGTTTTTTGTTTTTTTTTGCATTTGAGCTAAATCTGAAGGTTTTCAGCATGAGATATTTGAGCAAAATGAAGACTGAGTAACAATGCGTTTAAACTACGAAACATCTGGGAAAACTACTCTGAACCAGATGCACAAAAATTGAGTTTTTGTCTTTGGTGACATGTCTCCTTGTGACTGGCTCTTGGTCAGCCCTAAAGTCATTCAAAACAGACGACGTCGCAATATTTTGTGTTGGTATTTCAAAAATTTTTTACAAGAGCGGTTAAGATGCAAAATAAGTCTGCGCAAATCGTCTCAGGTTTGATAAATCACGTTGTTCCTTGTGGCCGTTTAAATTTGACTTCGACATCTATATTACAGGAGGAGTTCCGTTCCTATAGCTGCAATGTAATTTGTACAACGCTAAGTTGGAACATGGTGGATGACTATCTTACACTAAAAGCAGTATCAACATAATGATTACCCTGCACATTTATATGAAAAACACTTTTAGGCCATAAATACAAAACAATCAAACAGCAAGTCGGGGTGCTAACTGAGCATGCCTTCTTCTGCTGCATGATGACTATTTCACACATACTAATTCATTCGGTGCCATTCGTATCCTGGAAATGTCGTATGACACAACAGTCGTCGCCCTGTTGTTTGTTGTTGTTGTTTTTTTTTCCAAGCAAATAAGCAAAAGGCACAATCATGAATATTAATTAAGTCCTCCTATTTGTGAAGGCAGCAATATTAGCTTCCCCGATAAAGCAGAAGCGCATCTGACATTGCCTTCCTCCTATTTATAGTTATGGGCACCCCATGTTGTGCA